GGTCTACAGGGTAGTAAGCAAGAGGGTGAGGAACACGGAAGGAGAAAAAAAAAAACAAACAAAAAAAAAACACGCAACCCCTGCACAACACCGGTGTCGTAGAGATAGTCAGCAGCGGATAGCCTACGCTAACACAACCAAAAGGGTCAGAGGGAGGTGGTACTGTACTATAGTGCACTGTATTGTATTATCTTGTGGTTTTCCTGTGCCTTCATTCAAGCTGGGATGTATGCTATAATTAATGTTGTTTTGTAAATATGTATGAGACGTGACACACTCGGACGAACAGACCCACCGACCTTGCAGAGACTGGACTTTCGGGTGAGAAATGACCGACCCTAGCGGACAGACTCCAGGGTGCTTGGCGGATGACTGCCCCCTCCGTGCCTACACACTTCGCCGCGGAGCGGTTGGCCACCCCCCGGGATACCCGGCACACCTAGATAAGACCGGGACAGTTTTCTTCCCCACTACTTCCCAACTTAAAGTAGCTTCCCCCAATACCTCACCCCCCCCTCCCCGTCTCCCACCGCCCCTCCCCATCCTTTCCCTTCCCCGCCCCCACCCAAGGGCCAGCAAGGGCCACAAACCCACAAGGCCTTAACGGGGCACACGGCGGGACGGTCTAAGACAAGGAGCGCAGGGGGTTGGGTGGGACTCCACAAAACCACACAACATGGCGACTTTAAAAATTACCTCCCTGAACGTAAATGGCTTAAACACCCCGACCAAAAGACGTTTACTGATGAGGGAAGTTAAAAGACAAAAAACTGACATAGCGTTTGTACAGTAAACGCACCTCCTGCGGTCAGCCCGGATCCAACTAACAGACCATCTATATACCAGGGCATACTCCTCCAGGGCACTGGCCAAAAAAAACGGAGTAGAAATACTTCTACATAAAAAATGCCCTTTCGTGGCCCAGACGACGCACACGGACACTATGGGAAGGTACGTTGTCCTCACGGGGACCATACATGCCACCACGTACCACCTGATCAATATATACGCACCTAACCAGCCAGACCCGGAATTCTGGGAAACGCTCCATAATTTAATCCACACCTTACCGTATGGAATCATAATACTAGGGGGAGACCTAAACGCAACACCCTGCCACACAGTCGACCGCAGCGCCCCGACTAGTAGTCATAAGACGCAGACCACAAGGGGCCAAGACAAACTTTTGAACAAATTTATACAAAACACGAACTTAATTGACCCCTGGAGGCTATGCAATCCAGGAGTGAAGGACTACACGTTCTTCTCGGCAGCGCACTCCACATACTCCCATATAGACATGTTCCTAGTCAACCAAACAGGGATCCCATGGGTTCACTCTGCGCGTATCAACCTTATCACTTGGTCGGATCACGCCGACGTTGAACTCACTCTCAGACTACCAGGCCCCAAACCCCCATGGAAATGGCGATTAAACTGTACACTAATAAAAGACCCAGACACGGAGAAGCTCTTAATAGACGAAATCACGACCTATTTCAACGACAATGACAACCCGGACTTAACCCAATCCACGATATGGGCCGCTCACAAAGCGGTCATGAGGGGTATCCTCATTAAACTTGCAACCCGCCGAAAAAAGCAAAGGGCCGAAACTCTCTTCGAGCTCCAAAAGGAGCTGAGGAGGGCAGAAGCCTACCACAAACACAATCCCACGACACAGGGCCTCCGGGACCTTAGAGACCTCCGTCACAGAATTAGGACAACAGCAGTTGAGGACCTCGGTCGGGACCTAGTTCGGAAAAAACGCCTCTACTACGAACGCTCCAACAAGATGGACACCCTCCTGGCCAGGGCACTAAACCCCAAGCCTCACTTCCACACTATCTCGGCGATCCGAGATAAACAAGGTCGGATAACCCACAATCCTACGGAGATCAATCAGATCTTCACGGAGTTCCTATCACACATATACAACCACTCCCCAGAACTAAATAGTAAAAATAGGGAATACACACATGACGTAACTAACTACGTAACCAAGACGAATATGACGGGACCGAACCTGGAGGCCCTAACTGCCTTGGGGGTGCCCATCGAGGAAGAGGAGGTAGATAGGGCGATCACGGCCCTTAAGGGAAACAAAGCCCCGGGGCCGGACGGCTTCGACGGCTCCTATTATAAAACATTTAGAGAAGTGATAACTCCGAGACTGACGAAGATGTACAATGAATGGATGGACGGTGGACATCCAAACCCGGACATGCTCACAGCTGACATCGCACTTATACCCAAACCAGGGCGGGACTCAACCAAAGCAGCAAATTATAGGCCCATCTCCCTAATAAATTTTGATGTAAAAATCTTTGCAAAAATACTAGCAACAAGATTAAACCCCCTCCTAGGTAAAATAGTACACCCAGACCAGGTCGGCTTTGTGCCGGCTAGGCAACTATATGAAAACACTAGGAGAGGTGCTGATCTCATATGGTGGGCGACCCGGACCCGGACGCCTTCTCTGATCCTTTCCCTGGACGCGGAGAAGGCGTTCGATAGGGTGCAATGGTGCTATCTTTTTGCGCTACTAGAACGCCTACACATGCCAGAAAACTTTGTTAAAGGTATAAAAGCCCTATACACGGACCCGAGGGCCCAGACCAACGTACAGGGCGCAACCCCGACCCCATTTACGCCCGCCAACGGCACGAGACAGGGCTGCCCCCTCTCCCCTTTGCTGTTCGTCCTCTCGTTGGAGCCTCTCTTGCAGATGATACGGGAGGACGAGCACATAACCGGGGTCAAAGCGAGGGACGAAGAATTCAAAGTCTCCGCATACGCGGATGATGTCCTGGTCACGATCACCAACCCGAGAGAATCCTTGCCCCGACTTATGACCCTCCTAGAGGAATACGGACGCATTACAGGCTATCAAATAAATTTGGAAAAATCGGTGGCCATGCCAATAGAAATGGATGCAGACAGCGTTAACGACATTAAAAACGCCTATCCCTTCAAACTTACGAGATCCGAAATTAAATATCTCGGCGTTAAACTCACCTCAGACCCGGCGAAACTATATAGTGCCAATTACCCGCCTATAATCCAGGCGCTTTGTCGTGACTTGGAAAAATGGCATGAAAAGCCCATATCGTGGATTGGCAGACAACACGCAATTAAAATGACACTACTCCCACGACTATTGTTCTTGTTCCAGGCCCTACCCACCAAAGTCACTAAACAAGACCTGCAGATGATCCAGAAACACATAGATAACTTCATTTTGGCGCAGAAAAGACACAGGATTGCTAGACGAGTAATGTACCGACCGAAAGCGAAGGGTGGACTGGGACTCCCATTCTTATATCAATACTACCTGGCGGCGCAACTAGCCCAAATAATAGCATGGCACACCCCGGAGGGCTTGCACAGGTGGGTAGACCTAGAGACAAAACTTATGTGTACAGACCTCCCACAATTTTGGATCTGGGTACCCAAACAAGACAGACCCCCCCTACGCACCTCTTGTCCGGAAATCCTTAATTCCATAAGGATCTGGGATCTAACAGCCACCAAATACGCACTAAAACACACACCCTCGCCACTGACTCCATACTTACGGAACAAAGCATTCGAACCCGGGCTGACCGCACGAGATTTTAGGGGGATAGAAGACACAGGAATGCAAAGATACGGACATATGTATGACGGCGATTCCTTCAAAACCTTTGACACCCTAAAAGCCATGGCCCCCCTGACAACCAAAGACGTATTCAGATATGTACAGTTGAGAGACTTTGCCAAAAACCCAGATATTAAAAAAGCAGCACAGACCCCTATGACAAATTTCGAACAAATGTGCAACGCAGAATCTACACAAAAGGGACTGATCACGGCCATATATGCGCAGCTGAGTTCCCCAGAAAAGGGAACCGCAGACCCTAGATATATACACCAGTGGGAGGAGGACCTAGGGGGGGCTATAGAAGGGGAGGACTGGGTGGATATCTGGGAAGCGACGGCCAAGACGTCAATTTGTGTACTACACCAGGAACAATCCTATAAAATGCTCATGAGGTGGTACACAACACCGGTACAACTCCATAAGATGGGGAAAACCACGACAGACACATGCTGGAAAGGCTGCGGAGGCAAAGGCACCTTTGTCCACATGTGGTGGGAGTGCCCTGAAGTGACCAAATACTGGAAACGGGTCCAAACATTAGTGAAAGAGGTACTCACGCGACACATAGACTTAGATCCCTGGGCGATGCTACTGTCCCGACCAACGGACGGCCTTCCTAGGAAGGAGCAACAACTTTTAAATAAACTCACACTGGCCGCGAGACGAGCCCTAGCGCAAATGTGGCTTCAACCTACAGTCCCCACAGACAACGACGTGATAGTTAAAATCAAAGACTCCTATTTGATGGACAAACTCACAGCACAAATCAGAAATACGGAAAAAACATTCCAAAAAATCTGGCTTCCTTGGGAAGTGTACGCTAACGACAATGTTATATAGCCTGGAAAAGGTTCGCAGTGGTTTGGCGGACCTCCTCCCGCCGTGCGCCCCGAGATATACCAACTATTTCCTTTCCCCCTCCTGCTCCATCCCCACAGCACCGGTTGGTGCCCCCCCCCCCTTCCTCCCCAACTTTTCAAACCACTGAATATACGAGACTCCAAAACTTAGGACAGCCGGCTGACATGACCGCCGGGAGACGCAGTCGACAAAGACCCAAACCAAGACGCAACGGCTAGACGGAAATTAGGATTGTGTAAGACTGGAGGTTATTATGATGTCTCAATGTTAAATACACTGTAAAGTACTAGTTTTTGTTCACGTTTGATAAAAGGTCCTGAACGGACCCAAAACCGAAAACAGGCACCACACGGTCCACGATAACCAGACCATCCGACAAACCTTTTACTCTTCATTGTATAACTCACTGCAATGTATGTTACATAAGGACCCCTGCGAGGGCCACTTTTTGCTGGTCAGTGGTACCTGGTGTCGAACTAAAAATAAAGAATAAAAAAAAAAAAAAAGAACAGTCCCCCTGTTTTTTTTCAGGGGATTAGAGTAATTTGACAAAATACAGAGCACTCACTGTGCAATAAAGCCCAGCCTCTCTGCAGCTCGCAACGAAATGCAGAAGTTTCACGTTATCAGAGTAAATCTGTTCAAGTTTAAACAGCAATGACAAGCTGCACAAGCTTTGCGATCAATTTTGTTTATAACATTCATTGATGTCAAGCATGGACTTCATTCCCTCATTAACCACTAAAAGGGACACCATAGTCACCAGTACCACTATAGCTTAATGTATTGGTTCTGGTGTCTTTAGTCTGTCCCTGCAGGCTGAGCACTGTAAATGTTGCCATTTCAAAAAAAATAAACTGTTTACATTGCTGCCTAGGAACACCTCTAGTGGCAGTCACTCGAAGTGCCTCTAGAGGTGCTTCCTGTGTCAGTGCTGCACAGTGTGGAGATACTAAACACCACACTCTGCAGCACTTACTATAAGGAGATGTTGATTGATTGTAGTGTGACATTGTGCTCCACATGCGCAATAGCCTCCCAATGCTTTCCTAAGGTAAAGCTTTGGATTGGCTGAGATCATCAAGTTTGAGCCATGGAGGCGGGCCAGCCGCTGTGAGACTGGCACGGCATGGGAGAAAAGGTGAGTTTAAACACTTTTTCGGAGCAATATAGAGGAACAGGGGACCTAAGTAGTTCGTTTAACACTATAGTGTAAGAAATACACGTTTGTATTCCTGACGCTATAGTGTTCCTTTAAAACCCACATGACTATCTGCTGTCATGCAGTGTATGGCTTAAATACTCGGTGACAGAAGACCGTCATAAAAGTACCAGCAGGGGTTAAATACCTGCTAGTACCAAGGAACTCCAGGTATATTTTGATATCTGGGGTCCCCTCTATCAGCTAGGGAGAGAATTAGTGGCCCCGGCATGACTTATGCTTTGTTTGCATCCATAGCGATTTATTTATTTATCAAATATTTTACCAGGAAGGATACATTGAGATTTCTCTCATTTTTAAGTGTCCTGGGTCCACAAAAGTTTAATAAAGCAGGGGGCAGAGCACATTCTGAGGTACAGTAAGGCCCTCTAACATCTTTAACCCCTTAAGGACCAAACTTCTGGAATAAAAAGCAATCATGACATGTCACACATGTCATGTGTCCTTAAGGGGTTAAAGGACCACAATAGTCACCCAGACCACTTCAGCTCAAATAAGTGGTCTGGGTGCCAGGTCCCTCAGGTTTTAACCCTTCAAATGTAAACATAGTTTCAGAGAAACTGCTATGTTTACATTGCAGGGTTAATCTAGCCTCTAGTGGCTGTCTTCCTGACAGCCGCTAGATGCGCTTCTGCGACACTGGCTGCGAAAATCGCATTCAGCGTGCCGAACGTCCATAGGAAAGCATTGAGAAATGTTTTACTATGGGCGGTTTGAATGCGCGTGCGGCTCTGGCCGTGCGTGCGCATTCGGCTCCACTCGGGATCTGACTTCGGGAGGGGAGGAGAGGTCACCAGCGCCGAGGGAGCCCAGCGCTGGATTAAGGTAAGTGGCTGAAGGGGTTTTAACCCTTTCAGCCCAGCGGGAGGAGGGCCCTGAGGGTGGGGGGGACCTAGGGATTGTATAGTGTCAGGAAAACAGGTTTGTTTTCCTGGCACTATAGTGATCCTTTAAACCTCACCACCCACGACTGCTCACAACCAATTTATTACAAATGAGCAACAGAAACATAAACAATAAAATTAGTACAGACAAAAAAATAAATAAACATTCATGTAAACAACCAAAGCCAAGCTCCACATTTGCTTACTGGTTTGTTTGAATAACTAAGGAGGACAATTGCTTTTTCACATATAACTGGCTGGTGTTATATAACTTTTTTTTCTTTAAATAAATAAAAATGCAAGTTCACAAACAAATTTAGCATTTTCTTTATTCTTTATTTTAGGACTCTATGTCTTATATTTCATTTTATTTGAAAATCTGAACCATTCAGCTTGACAAATGTGCACAGAAGACAATTAAGATTTCATATGTTGAATTAAATAAAAGATTTATTTAAAATATACTCATATTTAAAGGGATACTATAGTCACCAGAACAACTACAGCTTAATGTAGTTGTTCTGGTGAGTATGGTCAGTCCCTGCAGGCTTTTTGCTGTAAACACTCCCTTTTCAGACAAAGGGCAGTGCTTGTATTCAAGCCTAGGGACACCTCAGATGGCTACTAGTGGTGCTTCTTGGATCAGTGCTGCACAGTTTGCAGCACTGACATTCACCGTCTCCATGCAGAAATTTCCCCATAGTGATGCAATCATCCAATGCATCGATATGAGGAGATACTGATTGGCCAGGTTGGCGTTTGGCTCTGCCCTACAGCCAACCCAAAAATTATTATAAAATTACAGCTACAACCAGCACCAAAAGGGTTTTAGAATAGAATAGAAGTAAAAAAAATGTCAGCTTGATCAGAGAGCCCTCTGATTACACTGATCAATGATATAGTACCATTCAGCACAGACACTGGACAGTACAATGATCAGACAGAAGACAAAGGGTTTTTAAAAGTTTTTTTAAAAACTGATGTAGTTAACAAAAAGGGGCAAAAATAATAAAAATAACAATACAAACTTACTAATCAGCACTGAAAGAATTCAAAAACACAATAGATTCCCCTACACTTTTCTATCAATGATCTCTCTGCCTCTCATTCCTCAAAGTGAAGAGAGTGACAGAGAACTGTGGGGTTGCCAGGCAGTAAAAAAACAAAAACTGCTATACTGGAAATAGGAAGGTTGGACAATATTATAAGATTATGACTTCTTATTTCCATTTTCAAGAGCTACCTGCCATATTCAAACACACAGTGTAACAGTCTGACTTATCTCACTGTGATGTCAGCCAGTGACATCATCATTGTTACCTATACAAACCCCATGCATGTTACCATCTGCAGATAGGCTTGTAATAGTGAACTGTGCTTGTCACTGTACCTAACTGAAGTGAACATTTATTGATTTATTGACTGATTATGGACGGTAGGCAAAGAAGGAGAAGCCAAAGAGTCCTTAATAGACAGGAAGAAGCAGCTTCCCAAACAAGTAAGTGATAGCTCCACATTTGCACTATTCTTACACAAACCGTGTATCTTTTGTACATCCTTCTCCAGCATGCTGACAACAAACATTATTTATGCACAGTTTTAATATCAGCAACTACTTGTTGCCGCTGGCTAATGTTGCTGGCGCAGGTGGACTTATACTTCTGGAAATGGTATCAGGTATCTCAATATAAGCAACATTTCACACTGAAACACTGCACATACAGACTGATTGCACCATAAACACTTTGAAACACTTAGGGGGTCATGGTTTGGCAGTTACTCTTTAACCGTACTTTTTTGATTAGGATCTCGGGGAAGACATGCTAATCCCAGAGCAAACAGATCTCGAACATCATCTGCAAGGCAAGAAACAAGGAGGGGTGGGAGAAGTCGGAGTCCTCATGTCCCTGAAAGAAACCCCACCAGAAATGGCGGACAAAGCCAAGGAATGGGAAGGGAACGCAGAGGAAGGCAAGAAAATTCCCCAAGACAGGGAACAGAAAGAGTAAGGGGCAGAGCAGGAAGAAGAAATATGAGGACCGGCAGGCGCAGAGACAGATCTGAAAGTGAAGGAGGAAGACATTGGCAGAGACCAGGGAGAAGCAGATCCCCCTTAAATCGCAATGGTGTGCCACCTCCTCCTAACGTAAATAATTCTGGTGAACTGGAAAATGTAGAAAACCACCAGTCTGAGAACAATGAAGGAAATCGCCAGCCAGTGCCTGTTCAAGAGCCTTCACAACCTGTTAATGCCCAAGATGTGTATAACAATGAGCCTCCTCTTGCAGAAAATGAGGACCCTTCCAAAACTATTCCACAGGAAGCTCAGGGAGATGATGACCAGGATGAATGCAGCATTTGCTTGAGTGCGTTTGACCCTGGTGAGGAAATCATGCTGCTGCACTGTAGTCACAGATTCCATATTGAGTGCATACAGATGTGGCTGCAGAGGCATTGCACCTGTCCCATGTGCAGAGCAGTAGTTATAATCTAAGTGAACAAAGTTCAGCAAAATGGCTGCCGGATCTGACTTCAATCTGCAATAAAAGGTATGGACCTTCTAGAATTATACTTATACGCTATTTACCCTAGAGAAGAAATAGAGAGAGTTATTGAAATAAATATAGGTTACTATATTATAGATTAAAAGGTATAGTGTCTGTACACACATTTTAGTTTATTCAAATAATACTCCCAATTAGATATCAGATTCTGTTCCATTCTCAGTTCATACCGATATGACTCGAGGAGGTTTTCACCTACCCCAACTGCAGAGCTGAAATAATTAGGGATTTCAAGCTGCAATAAAGGTATGTACCTCTAGAATTATACTACACCCTAAAGGAGAGACGGTGGGGTGGTGGTGTGGTGGTGGGAGAGATATAATTTTAAGATTGAGAACTAGAGTCTCAGACTAGGACGCATTATTCCCAAAACCGATCATAAATTCCCCCATACACAGAGC